TGGTGCCTTCTAATTACCACTTGTTCATATCGATGCAGCATGGTTTGGGTGGCTCGCGGCTCCGCAAAGTTGAAAATGTGCGAAAAGGGATCGACGATTCGATCATTACCAAACCAATGTCGGTCTTCCAATACCAAATTACATGCAAACACCTAATACAACTACGCTGGAGTTGGATTAATACGAACGATAACATGAACGAAGAAAGTTTATTTTGTAGTAGTGTGAACATTTCAGCCACGCCTTCGGGGGCAATGCGCAGCGTTGCAGGACCAATGCAGATATTCCATCCTGCAGCGATAGTTATCGAATTGACCATATCTTAAATTTTATGCGAAAAGGGAAAGTGGTTTATGACCGTTGCGAACACAATTTTCAGACGTGAAAAGAGGCCAGCAAACCTTTCCCGCCCATTGCCGTAAACGACCAAATGTTTTTAATGAAAAGGTAAGTGACTATCTTCGAACACTTTTCTTACGATTTGCACGACCATGACTTCCCATACTAATCGTTTGCAAAACATATAGGATTGAGCTGGGCATATATAGATATGTATATAAATAAATGTGCATGGGCCGTCATGGGTACGTATTACCCGACTTTATAAAATAGTGTATCCTCTATATCCGGTGGTGAACATCGAAATCATACATAAATAAATATTCATTTTTATTTATTTATTTATTTATTGATTTTTTTTTTTTTTTTTTTTTTTTTTTTGGGAGTATTTTACCGAGTATCCGAATAATGGAAAGCACATAAGCGAAAATTTTTTCCCATTTTGTGCACTCACACTTAATTCCACACGTGCCAATTATGTGCATAAGTTTAAGAATACGATCAAACGAAATCAAAGGCCACACGCTTATATAAATTAACACATTTCAGGGGTAGTCTCTTACGTCGTATAGATAGATAGATAGATCATGATTTTTTTTTTTTTTTTTTTTTTTTTTTTTCTCTCTCTCTCTTTTTTTCTTTTCGTCATTAGCAAAATTTTTGTGAGTAATAGGTATACAACCAATATTGAAAGTGTGAACATATATACACATATATATGAAAATATATATATATACGGATTTATATGGACAAGTTTTTTAATATGATTTGATTTTTTAACAGAGTTTTTTGATTGGCCAACAAACAATGCACCAATAGAAAGCCAAAGAAAACAAATTATTTCATATAGCGATAATTCATTGAATTTATGTGAAATGAGAAAAAAGCGCTAAATTGATTTTTTTTTTTATTTTTTTCATTTGCGTACGAATGTATTAAATATAAAAAATGCATCGTATGTGAACACGGATTCTTAATCCATGGAGAATGAGATTAATACTTGTTTTATGCTTAACAGACGAGCAATGATGTCATTGCCTTTTTCTTTAAAACATTCAAAATTCGTACAGCCACGAAAGTGTATGTAATCCTTTCATCTCCATAAGATTCGCAGATTTGGTCATTACCATTTACTATTATGGCCATTCGACTGGCTGGTGCTCGAAATTTTTTTAACGATGCAAAAATGAAGATCGGATTTTCACTACTTGTCCTTTTTCCCCGATACCCACTATTGAAACACGGGAGTATGTCATAAATTTCATTCCATTTATATGCATCATAGATCCAATATCCAAGATCCAGTATATATCGTTGATGAGCATACAGTTTTGTGTTAATATTGATATGTCCATTTTCTCACTCGTAGTTATACTCCGAGTATGCAAAATAGTGAGAAAAAGCTACAACTTGACACCAGGATGTCTTTAAAAATGGATTAGAGCGGCTCACACTCCAACCATAGCGAACGCCAAACTATATGTAATTCACAAGTTATAGCAATTATTGGTTTGAGTATCGGTACAAATGCTAACAATGACAATTTTAAGAGAGCACGTAAGTGAAGAAAAAGTTTTATAAAAGTGTAATGAAGAAGAGCATCCGGAAGGTGCAACTTTAGCACTTTTTTTTTTTTTAACAAGTCACTATTTTGGATTGATTTTCATCGTAAACTGCGATAAATTAGGCTTTTGTAAGCGTCTTTGCGTGAGAAAGAGTTTCAATCGGTCGCGTTCGATTCAAATTTTTCTTTTCCTCCTTCTTAATGGGCATGCCCAATTTCGTCCAACTATCTAAACTAAAGGTTTTAAGAAAGACATAGATAGGCGCATAGATAAGCAGACGAACAAGGAGATGGATAGCGGGCAGACGGACAAATAGACGGACGTCGAGGCCTACTTAAATTAATTCAGAAATTGATTCTAAATCGGTTAGTTTAATAAAATGCGATTTTCTTTTAAAATCTGCTGGATGTCACTTGCATCCGCACAAACTTAATATTCTCTATATTTTGCACGCATATTTAAGTCTAAGGCAGAACAGGACCAATTTGGTAGTTTTTGCAAGTGCCCCAAACACGCTGAACACGGATCCTTTGTCTGTCCGAAAGATCAAAACGAACGCCAGAGACTACAAACGGAAATCGGAAAGTTTCCTCCCCCCTGACAATCTCGTGACAAATATGCTGACCGATCTGAAAATATGGATGCCGCAAACATAATAAGAAAACAAAGAAACGAGAAACATGAACGTAGACTTTTACGTAGTGTCTAAACGACAAACCTTTCTGTGCAGGTAGGTCTAAACGATCGTGCCACAGGATAGGGAATAGGAATATAGGCGGCCTTTAGCCGGTGAAATTCTCACACTGCCTCTAA